AACCCTAAACCCTAAACCCGCCTACCTAGTTTAGGGGCCATGGGGGCCATGGAATCTCACGGCATCTTGGAAGCTCCCGGATTTCAGCGTGCTCAAGCCGGCTTGGCGGCCCCTGACAGAATTTTAGGAAAGCCAGTCCCTACTTGGAGGTATATTGAGGGGTTTAGGGTTTAGGGGGTTTAGGGGTTTAGGGTTTAGGGGTTTAGGGTTCAGGGTTTACTTGGAGGATCATGGGACTCAGTAAGTAAGGTTATAAGTCCCTTAGTTGGGGTTATAAGTATAGTTACCCTAATTATAACCCTACTTACTAAGTCCCATGATCCTTTTAGTATGATTCTGCATAGCAGAGATACACACTGTGCACTTGAGAAGACCTGGCCGAATGTAGGGGACCGTACTTCATCATCAGACTCGCGCTTTGGGGCACGTTTAGTAATATAATCACCATGAGGAACTGTAGGAACAGTATGAGTAATTTCTCAAAACCCTTAATCCTAAACCCTAACCCCTAAAGCCTAAAACCCTTAATCCTAAACCCTACACCCTAAAACCCTTAATCCTAACACTAAGGCCTAAAACCCTTAATCCTAAACCCTAAAACCCTAATTAAAACCCCTTAATCCTAAACCCTAAAATACCTAAAACCCTAAAGCCCTTAGTCCTTAACCCTAAACCCTAAATCTTGAAACCTTCATCTACCTAGACTTTAAAGTAACCCGAGAAAAAAAGTATAGACTGTAGTTTCATAGTGGTTCCCTTAAGGAGCAGGTCCCCAACAAAAGTATTCAAGTATGGTACTCCAAAGCCCAGGAACCCTTAGCACCCTAAAACCCTTAGTCTTTAACCCTAAGCCCTAAAACCCTTAATCCTAAACCCTAAACTACCTAAAACCCTTCGTCCTGAACCCTAAACCCTAAATCCTGAACCCTTCACCTAGTTGGAGGATCATGGGACTTAGTAAGTAAGATAAGTCCCTTAATTGGGGTTATAAGTTTAGTTACCCTAATTATAACCCTACTTACTAAGTCCTTTGATCCTTAAACCCTAAACCCTAAACTCCCAAACTTAACCCTAAACCCCTAAACCCCTATACCTTTAAACCTTAAACCCTAAACCCTAAACCCCTAAACCCTAAACCCTAAACCCTAAACCCTAAACCCTAAACCTTAAACCCCTAAACCGGTTCGGGTCCTTGAGTCGGCTGTCCATACTCAGCAGGGAGTTGTCCCCCGCAAGGAGCCTCGGCGCTCTTGGGCTTAGGGCTTCGGAGGGTTTCGGGGTTTAGGGGTTTAAGGGTTTGAGGTTTAGGGGTTTAAGGGTTTAAGGGTTTAGGGGTTCAGGGGTTTCGGGGTTTAAGGGTTTAGGGGTTTAAGGGTGCTGTAGGGGTTTAGAGGTTTAAGGGTGTCGGGGTTTAGGGGTTTACGGTTTAGGGCTTGCGGGAGAGGTGGGTTTAAAGCCTTGGCAATTTAGGGTTTGGGGTTAGGGGGACGTACTCTTTCAAAATTGCGGAGTCGTAACAGCAATGGCTAGGGCGTAGTGTTCGGCGATTCTGGGATGTGCGCTTTTCTAAAGTGCCCAGAGGCTTTTGCCCTATAGCTGTGCTTTCTGCTATACTGCTATAAGCCTGTACGCAACTACATGATTCCCAGGCTAAAGCCTAAATGCCAAAAGCTCCTATCTGAAGCCGTAATCGTTGAACCCTACCTTAAGCCAAACTGCCTAAGCCCCCCAATCTGGGTTGGCACCTCAAAGCCTCTGAAAAATCTTCGTAAATAAGATCCTCTTAACCCCAATCGGGAACTATACAATGTCCCGAAAGCCTAAACCCTAAACCCCAATAAGGGAAAATATAAAATGTCCCAAAGGCCTGAACCCTAAACCCTAACCTCTAACCCCAATAAGGGAAAATATAGAATGTCCCAAAGGCCTTCCTGGGTAGTTCTCTAAATTAGGGTCCCTTTTTAGGTCCCCCTTATAGTACGGCACCCTTATAAAAAGGACCCCCAAAGGGACCCTAATTTAGAGAACTACCCAACTTGAAGTCTAAGGGAGACCTTAAACCCCAATCCTAAACCCTAAATCCTAAATCCAAAACCGAAAACAACCGAAAACCCTAATTTAGAGAACTACCCACCTAGGAACGCCCAGGAGCACCGTGCACTGTGCTGCACCTCCGGAAGAGGTCGGCCACAGGGCAGCCTCGTGGTTCTGGGATGAAGCTCAGGGTTTAGGGTTTTAGGGTTTAGGGTTTAGGGGTTTAGGGTTTTTAGGGTTTTAGGGTTTAGGGTTTTAGGGTTTAGGGTTTGAGTTTAATAGGTTGGGCTTTACGGTGTGAGTGCTCGGGGCTTTAGGGTTTTATGGCAAGTTCAGGTGCCGTAGGGTTGAGGGCTTCTGGGTTTTGGACGTAGGGCTTCCGGGTATATCCGACCCATGCCATGCTATGTAAGGTGCCCAGTGCTTTAGGGAAAATCGTGCTTAAGGCTTTGACGTCGGGCTTAAACCTAATCTAAACCGAAACCCTCTGCCCAAAACCGAAACCCAATGCCCTAAACCCAAAACTACAACCGGATGGCCCTAAACCCTTAAACCCTAAACCCTGAAACCCTAAAACCCTAAACGCTTAACCCCAAACCCCTAAACCCCTAAACCTTAAAATTCTAAACCCTAAACCCTTCTTTTTCGTGTGCCCGAGGCCCGGGCAGCGGTGATTCGCACGAGAGCATCGCGGCGTCCCCACCACATGCCTCGGCGGTTTGGGGCTTAGGGTTGAGTGTTTAGGCTTTTGGGTTTAGGGTTTAGGGGTTAGGGTTTAGGGTAGGGGTTTAGGGTTTAGGCTGTTGGGTTTAGGGTTTATGGTTTAGGGGTTAGGGTTTAGGGTAAGGGTTTAGGGTTGTTTGGGTTTTGGGTTTAGGGTTAGTTAAAGGCTCATAACTGCTTCGGCACGCGTTCGCGCCGTAGAGATCGGGGTGCTTGGGTTCTTCGGGTTTTTGGGATATTTATGGTGCTAAGGTCTAGGGATTGGGGTCCAAGGTTTGGCATCAAGGTTTCGGGGTTAGCGGTGAGTTTGCTTGTTCAGTCGTGTACCGAAGCCGATGTCACTACAGGTATGCAGACATGCTGCTTCCACAGCAAGTCAGTTCTCCAATTTGCGGACATTGTACACGTGCCTGCCTCGGCAGCGAAGAACCGGCAGGGTGGTCCAGTGCGCACTC